GAAGATAGCAAAAATTAGCTATATTAAAATGAGAGTAAGCTGAATGTGTTGGCGGTGAGTGAAGGGGTGGAACTCTGTGCTAACGAAGAGCGCAAAACCAATGCGGCCGATTTACTGAGCGTGAGCTTGCCTGGGGAGAAGAGCAAAGACAGGACAAAGTTTCAGTAAAAATTCATATTGTATGGACTTAGTTATACTGGTATCACAAGCACGGAAATCACTGTACGACCGTTTCACTCCAAGGTGAATCATCAGTAGTGCGCTTTTCACCTGGCACTTGTGAGTTTTAACACCCAAAGCCCGACTAAGACTAGTCCGTGAAGAAAACTGCTGAGCTAATGGAACGTTAAGGACCGTCGTGAGGAAATTACTGTATGTTACATGGCACCGCTTACTAGAAGCCGACTTAAAGGTTACTAACAAGCAGAGAATAGGGTGGTACCTCATCGAGAGACAAACATGCCAACCTAATGCTGCCAGTTACCCTATCGCATTATAAACAGTTTGGTCAGCATAGTTGCTACAAAGGCGTATTGCCAGAAATTAAATAGTCCGGTTCTAGCCTCAAAAGAATGAAACTGCCGTACAGTGCATTTTCAAACGTGTGGATTTTATCTGACAGAGCCTAAATACCATGTACTACTACTGATAGGACGCAACTCCCGATATTACCTCCTGGTAAAATAAAGTGTGTTTATTAGCTGCAGAATCTATCGAGATAGGCTGACGAACGCTCCTCAACTGTTTTTTTAGGTACGAGCTCATGCAGTCGATTAATGATGTACCGGATCCGATCGGACTCAAACAATTGATTGGTGTAGTAGCTTCAGAGATGCACTGTTAGCAGGTGAGAGCTTAGTCACTTATAGCCGAGAATAATGCAGAATGCTAAGTAGCATTTGCTGTACCCACTGTGTTGTTGGATTGCGACTCGAAATCTCTATTCAGACATCGGTTCTCTTTGAACTAGACCTCGGTGATTACAATCACAATGACCGCATACGAATAGGTGGTTCGATGCTTTTCCTCCCAACCCTGCATGCAGAATGCACCTATGCTAAACGGAATCAAGTCGATTAATATGCTTTGGTAAACAAGATGTACTCGTTATTAGTTTGAAAAGTATTTGTTAGACTCGCCAAGCCCTTCTGCAATACTGTGGCTGTAAAAAGATGGTAAATTTCTATGTAAGCAACGGACTATAAACATACAGCAGGATATCCTTGACTGTTGTTGGTCATATTCCGTCTTCTTATGCTTGATGCACGAACGACAGTCCCGCGTGAAGACGAAGATAATCAACATTGCATTACAACGCTCGTCCTCAAAATTCGTAAGGAAAGCCGTTCACCTTGGAACAGTGGCTTCAGGTCACATGCATTAAGCGCAACTCTGATTTAGTTGACTGGCTAAAATAAAACCAACTTTTCCACTTTTCACCAGGTCAGGAAGAAAACATCTGGTTGCATGTAGACGCAGCATATGCAGGAAGCGCGCTTCTTTGCCCAGAATTTCGCAGCTTTTCGCGGGGATTAGAGGTAGGTTAGCCATTTTTAAATTTTGCGTAATAATATTCCTAGTTTCACCCCTTGTGTCACGCTGTAATCAAGTATAGTGTAAAAATAAATTCCCTTCATTTCCGTTTTCTTGTTACGGATGACCATGGTTAGATACTGCTTCACAGATAAAATCAACTTTTTCGATATTCGTAAAGGAATTTTAAACCTTTGCAACTGATTTGTTTAGTTAAAACAAATATTTCTTACGAGTGCATGGTATAAATGCAGCAGCTTAGTGTATTGTGTGACAATGATAGGTCTACAGTACATTAGTTCCACTTCAGGATGAAGGTACTAGCCTTCATCGACTACTTACTTCAACGTAGCAAATAAAAATCATTTTATTTGCGACGGTCGCATAATAAATGTGCTTTGAGCGGTTATAGCTTTTGCGTCTCTCTCCTCAACCAATGTAGTTACCATACACTCATTCGAATTGATTTAACTTCTCGTATTCAGTGGGCACAAATTATCGCTTACGGATGGTAATTTGTGTGACCCAAGTTGTTTTAACGCGTTTCGTGCTCACATGCAAACGTACAACATGGTGGTTGTGAAACAACTTTCCGGTTACGAAACAGTGATCGATGAAAGTACTCCGCGATACCAAGTGATCCTAGCTTCACTCCTACAGGATTATTGTTGGGAAAGCCGGAACACATTTCGTGGTTTCATTTGCACTTGCCAACACTTAGCTGCTGGCAACCACCTGCTACAAGCTAAAATGCAGTGTTGATCCTAACAAGAACCATTGTCGATTTTGAAAACCGCCAAATCGCTTGTACATGTGTTCTTCCCGTGGACACCCACTTACTATAACCAATGTCGACAGTGCGAGTGGAACAAAGAAGGTGATGATCACACGCCCTCTACCTCGGAGGTCAGGAAAAGTGTAGCGTTCAGGGGCAACGACGGACCTCACTGATTATGATTCCACTTGAGGGCAAATGTTGTGAGCCGAAATGAGCAGGTGGGAGCACCTGTTCAAACTATGTCCTTACTTTCCACTTCAGGTGTGGCGGTGCCTGTTAAGTACAACTAAAACGAAAAACCAAACTGACTGAAGCGCAATGGTTTTGATAATCATGAAGTCATTTCTCATTGTCAATTGCACATAGGTTCTTATGAAAAGCGAGACAACTGGCTGAAATAACCCAAAGGATAGCGAGCTTTAGGGCTTTGTCAGCGAAAGCTAGCAAGTTCGATCTCGTTCTACAACAAAACCCTCAGAACTCTGTTTATTAGTCAAAAGGTAATGTCAATCTTGCTTAACACCTCACGGAATCTGTAATGCCTAATATGACACGTAGTAACCCTCTAAGTGGATAAGTCACATTCGGTACGACTGCTTTTAACCCATTTCAGGATGTTACACTTAACGAGTCAAGCACAACACTGTCAGCCCAGTGCCACGTCAGTCTCGTAGATAAAAATGCCGGAAGTAACAACTGTACATCCATTTTGCGAACGTTGTGCGATGTGCGTTGGTGCCTGCTGGACAATCCGACTTGTCATCCACAAAACTCAACCTAAACTTTAAACAGAGACACAGAGAGTGTTAACTCACGTGTGCACTAACGTTCCCCATTCCAAATGTGGCACAACAAAAGGCAAGTTGCTATACGATCGCAACCAAAGAAATTCCACCTGCTATGCGCTTGGGATTCCGGTTGTGCCTACTATGATTTAAAGTGTAGCGCGTCACTCAACTTCAGTGCACTAGGGTAAAACTCGATATCTTTGAGTAACAGTAAACTCGGCAGAGAAGAATGATACCTACCTGATTTCAGCAGTTCGACTTCGCAACTCATCGATCACCGTACGCATACTATCAGATGTTCCGTAGAAAGGACGGTCCACAGAAAAGAACAGTCATAGCAGCGCTTCTACAAAGTAAGCAAGAAAATAACGGTTGTGCATGAAGTTTCTAAACTATCGGATTTTCCTAAGCACGAGGCGCAAACCTTTGACCGACAGCAGTGCTGACATCCGCGAAGCACTCTCTCTGGACGACGTTGCCACCAAATCGTTGACGAGCATTCTTTCATCTCCAAAATACAATGATTGCGGTTCAAAATATTGAACGTAACGCTGCACTCCGAAGGAATGGCAGAAGTCCTATCGGATGATGATTAAAAAACGCTACAGGTAACCAATCAACCTTTGTCTAAACTAACAAGCGCATGGCCATGCGTAGTAAACATTTCGCTGAAACATGCAACCTCAGTAAAAAAATTTGCCTCCGCAGCCCTGCGGTTATAGACTAGGTAGCACTCATGGCATCTGGCAGGACAGAGACGCACGTGAGCACATCGCGATCTGGAAAGCTCCGCACTGCCATGCAACCATGCCGAAATTTAAGCAACAACAATTTACGCAAAAACAATTGTCGGCAGACGGCAAAACGGTCGGCATAAAACAAAATTTATTCCGGCGTATACTAACACACATCTAACATCCTTAGCACTATCCTGTTTGTACACCAACATCTAAGACCTTCGTATTAAGATGGCCGAACTTATAGAACGTCAAGCCAAACAAAAGCGGGATCTCATCCTGATTACCTAGACCAGGTTAAAACCTTAGATAACCCATTCTGTAATCAATTCACCTGGTAAGTCGCTGCTACGGAACCATGAAACTGGAGGAGGTTGTGTTGTAATTCTGTATTACAAGACTAAGCTCCGATTTGAACTTAATGATCACCCAGAATTCCCTGCATTTGTTCCACTTTGGTGCCGGTTATGTTTGAGGAACAATGACACCAGTCTTGCAACCGGAATTTATCACCTGCCAAACCCTAGTGTGAACGGGGCTCAAACGGAGCCACATTTTTCGCGTTGCGATGAACAAGTTATACGGTCACGGTCTCAGTGCGGGCGACTTTAATGTGCACGACAGGGAAAAAAAGCAACCAATAGCTCGCAGTTTAGTGTCTGTTGGTAGGAGCTAATTTCCAACTAACCACTGTACAACCAATTAACCACTCCCACCAGATTTCGAACTGCTAATCTGCCGTTGATACTTGATCCTGTACGCACCAAAGAAGAACTCGTGGTCGACGGAATAGGTACAAGCATTCCGTTTGGTCGCGGAGGCCACGTTAGTTTACTGTATGATTATTTAGGCTATGCTACCGTTCAGAAAAATATGATAAAGTTTAGAGCGTCCTGCACCACATGTTATCCGTATTGTCAAGGAGATATCTTAGACAATCACAAGTGAATACCCCCAGAAATCACCTGGGATACCTTTACAAGGACATTTAGTAAACTGGCAGCACACACGTCTTCAAAAGAAAAGCAAATCATTTTTATGGAGCAGAGCACGTAAATGCATATCTCTGAGGAATTTGACATGTAGAGCACATAATGGCTCCCCGAATTCGGAAACCCGGACTGTGTACTTGGCATAGCTTAATTTTTGTGTAATATTGCTCTGCGAGGACAAATTGACGCAATAGCAAGCGTTAACGGAGCGATTTGATGCGAATCACAAACTCATGTACAAGCATGTTAATTGCCTACGTAAGTGGAGCGCAGAAGTTTGCCACTCGTTCTAACTGGCGAGTGCACACGATCAGTAAAGGAAGCAGCCAAACTCATACGGTTCCTGTACTCACATACGTTCCCGAGGGTAAAAGGGCAAATCAACATCCCGGTTCCCACTTTCCAACCGTCAGCTTTGTCTCATATCACTAATGATTCAGATGCTGCGTTGAAGAATCTGTTTTCACTGCTTACCTACATCTGTTGTGGTGTCTATAACATTTAGCCAAAGGTTCTATAGCTAGCAGCCAGTGATTGGGTGAAACCATTGGCCATATACTGTCAACGCCATGTAGAGGCGAACAACAATCCAGCCAAATGGAAGCAAGGAATCATCACTCCTACTCATAATAAAGCAACTCGCATTGACCCAACCAATTATCGTCCGATAAAACTGCTCTTATGCTTTCCAATGATATTGAATCAATCACTGCGGATGCATTATGAGGTATCTGGAAAACCACAACATAATAGCCCCAGAGCAGCAAGGCTTCCGACGAACCGGCTCATGCACTACCAACCTGATAATTACACGCAATATCTGGACTGAATCAGTTGATGGTGGAGCAAGAGTGGATGTCAATTATCTGAACTTCTCAAAAGTGTTTGCTCGCTTAAACCATCGAATTCTTCTCTGTAAACTTCAGCTCAATGACATTGGTGACCCACTGCTGCATTGGATAAGCAAATGCCTACATGAACCTCGATTGGAGATGAGCTTACAGAAATTGCTGCCCGACGCAATGAAGGTGGAGTGTGGTGTAATACAACGCTTCTGCCTCTTCTAAGCATATTCAGAGGCGGTCTGGCGAGGGCAGTTATTACCGCTTTTCTATGTTTCGCTGGTGATATCAAGCTATGGCAAGCAATCATAAGACCGAACGACAAGGAAGATTTCCAGTGCGCCCCTAACAGGATCTTGAACTTGTCACGTCAGAATGCCCTACCATGCAAAGCTAGGTGTTTTGTTCAGATCACACATACTGCGAACTACTTCCCAGGAGGACGACCTTGATATGCTCATTCAAAGTGAACTTAACTGTTCCAAACAATTTGATGCGGCTGCAAAAAGAGCCAAACAGGAGTCAACTTGTTGGGGAGGGAATGCTGGAGATTTGACCCACCAAGCATCCCGATGATGCACAATTCCTACGTGTGTCCTCAGGTTGAATACATCATCCAAGTCTGACAATCTTGCTTGGAGGATGATCTGGAGCAGCTAGAGATACCATAAAGCAGGGCTACGAAGAACGTCAAAAGTTTACGGAAACTGGCTTACCAACGATGGCTGAAATCACTGGCTGGGCTGCGATCTCAGATAATTATACCAAATATTGAGTGACTCTGATCACGTATGCTGATAACTGCTGAAACTCAGGGATAACACGGAGCTCAGAGGAAACTGCTTGACCTTGAGTGAACAAGACAGTCGTCTAGAATGCCG